AAACTACGTGTTTATTCTGTGCTGTTGGCTGCAATGTTTTAGATTGCTGACAGGGTCTCTTTAAAGCTACTCTTTCCGTAAACAGCTATCTAAACAATGATATTACATATGTAGGAGCTGTTATTTGCCAATTGATTGCTAGCCAATTCACACAGCCTGCTAGACAGCATAGGCAGCCAGATGACCTGAATTGTACAGTGCAGGCTCCCAGAGGGGCCACCCATACCCAGGGCCATTTTTTCAGCAGGAACACTGGGGAACGCAGTTCCAGCACCTCCACAGTGGATGCATGTAATGGCAAGGGGTGCTGGAAGGTCTGTTGATGCTGGCTGCTGGGGATCTATGGTCACCGGTGGAGATTTATTTTTGTGTGGCAGTCTATTGTTGCTGGTGGGGGATCTATTGTCGCTGGGGGGGGGAATTTTTGCTGGAAGGGGCCTACTATTGAGGGAGGGGTCTTTGCTACTGGCTGCTGGACAGTCTTTTGATGCCAGCTGCTAGGAGATCTGTTTTTGCTGCTGGGGTCTATTGTTGATGGGGTGGTATTTTGTTGCATGGGTCCATTGTTGATGGGGGAATCCATTGTTGCCGGTGGGGGGGGGTTCTATTGTTGCTGGCTGCGGGGAATCTGTTATACTGGTTTTCTTTTTATCAATAACTAATTTCATGCAAATTACTTAGCACCACAAAATGATACTTGGCCCTGTACTCTCTAAAAGGAGCAGTACTGGAAGCTGGGCAGAGGATGGAAACAAGGGACAATGCTGCTCAGAGGTAGATGGGGGGCAGAGACAAGAAGTGACTCAGAAGGGGGGAGTCACTGCACCTATTCTCTGAGAAAAAAAAAGCCCTGCCCATACCTATAGCAGCCTGACATCGTGTGGTTTTTACCTGAAGGCTCCATGCACACTGGCTGTTTAGCTGTCGTGCATGAAACTCCAGTGTTTAGGTGCAGGTGGAAGGTACAGGCACACCATCCAGCCCCACTGCTAGAAACCTAACAAACCCTATGCGAGTCTCACAACTGCTGAGGCTGAATGGGGCAGGAAGGTGCACCAAGCAGTACTTACCTGAAGGGCAATTTGCACCCAGGGACCAATTCCTGAAGCACAAGTAGTCTGAGTTCCAGGTATTCATTCCTGGGCACATACAGTACTAGACATAAGCACAGCTAGGTGTACCACCCAGTGCCATCCAGCCATGCCAGTTGTGAGCCTCTCATAAAGATTGATAGGCTGGACTTGTACCTTTCATCTGCACCCAAATGCCAAGGTCTCATGCACCAGGACTACAAACACTCCATATACATGGGGGCCAAATATGGGGCAAAGCTCCAGCACTTCTGAGAAGTTTCAAAGCTTGTCCACCTCATCTTGCCACATGCACATTCCTATTGGCCAGTGAGGCAGCCCATCTTAGCAATGAGCCAATAGGAGTGTGCGGGCGGCAGAAGGAAGTATGCAAATAACGACGCTAAGGAGCAAACTTTCCGTCACAATGGTCTATCATTGGGGTACAGCAGCAGAACATGGAGGCATCTATACCTATACTTTTAATGAGACAGTTATTTGACCTTTATCCTCTTCACTTATTTTCCATAATATTAATACTTCCCTCCACCAAAAAAAAAGTATACTTTTTTAAGTAAGGCTCCCTCACTTACAGATTTCTCCTCTAGGTGAGAGTGACATACTCACATCCCCTTCTGGGATACTCCCATCCTGGGACAATCCACCAAAAATGCACATCGTGGAGGAGGTGGATACCTCTTCCTTGTTCTTGCAGCAACCCTGAAGCAGCACTGCCGTATATTTTCATCTTTAGGAAACAGGCTGCAAGAACCAGGAAAAGATAGCCAGCTTCTGGTGATGTAAGAAGACAAGATGGCGGCATGGCATCGGGTCTGTACAGCAGCAGCTGAGCAACAGATTATTACAGAACAGCACTGGGTGTACAGGGAGTGTAAATATGTTTCTGCTAGGTTCACACTTGAACCTGAATTTTTTGGAGCATTTTTTATATGAGTATGCATGTTTTTCAGACATTTTCAGGCTTGAGCATTTCTGTTTTAGCCAATGGAAAGGTATGTAGCACTACCCCCTTAGGGGTTGCTGATAAATTGGGTTCCCCTATAGTCCTGCACAGCCAGACAATCAGCATTTCCACACAAGCGTTCATACAAAGTCATAAATCAGTCCTTGAGCTTTTGTTTTGTTATTTATTGAGGGGATTTAGAACTGGGATAGGGTAAGGGGGGTATAGGATGCCCAAGGTAACTGATAACTGAGGACAAATGTCCTGGAACTATTCACAAGCTTCCCTTCTGCAACACAGTCTCTGTTGGAGAGCTAGCCTGCATCCCCTTGTCATACCCCCCCAGACCCTAGATTAAATTTTCCTCTTCACCCAGCAGATGAACAGTCACTAGTAAGGGGCTAATCTGGTTTCCCACCAGAGTGCTCTTTCCCTATCTGCTCAGGGGGTGCAGGTGTACTCACTCAGATACTCTTCTATACCACTCGCATGTTGGCTGCTGCTACCAAGCCTATCAGCTGGGCTGCTCCTTCCCTGTCAGACAGGTAATCCTCACTCGGGGCCAGTGACCTCCGAGTTTTCTGCCTCTCCAGCTCCAGGCTCGCAAGCAGGCCCCATCCCACTAGGCCTCCTGGCAGCCATCCTCCTCCAGCCTCACATCTTCCTCTCTCCTTCCACCTTACTCTCCTCCTACTGAGCAGGCTCCAACACATTTCAGAGAGTCCCAGCCCCTTGCCAAGCCCTCTGTTGGGGATTGGAGTTCCCTCAAGAGTGCAGTGAGCCACTCCTCAGATCCATGCACTGCCTCCAATGCCTTCCTCCGAAAGCCTCAGAGCAGGGGGAAATTCCCGAGGGGTCTCTCAATTCTGACCACAATTTTACCCCTAGGAGGGTTCTTAGCTACAGGTAGTTACTAGCAGAAGGAGAATCATATAAAAATGTGTGTTTTGGTTCTTTTAACAGGCTCCCCAACTTAAGTCTATTGGGTTTAAAAAAATGTGTTTCTGTATCTTTTTTCCAGCAATGGGTGATCTATCACAAGCAGCAGAGTCTTGCAACAGAGGCTATTAACATGAATGAGACTCTACCGGTTGAGCGTTGGCATAAGTGAGACAAAATGCTCTGGTATGAAGAGGGTCTTATTGAGGGTAATTAGCAAAACACAGTAAGAGAGGCTTGAAAAGAAAAATACAATGAGGAGCAAAGTTCCTCTTTAAGCAATACACCTCTGAGTCCCAAGCTTCTGATTGGATAGTGAAAGAGCAGCAACAGACTGATGAGTTCACAGTGCTGAACACCCAGGGGGTGGGAAGGATTGGCGATCACATGATTGAAAGCGGGTACACCCGCTCAGTCCAGACCGAGAGATGCATATGTCCAGCGTGCAGGCGTTAACATATTTGTGGGGCAGCCCACTAAAGTGGAGAGGGATTAGAACCCCTGTTGGTTCTTACTGCTGTCTGTGTCCCTGTTAGGGAGTTTCACTCCTCTCTATTTTTCCTGGTGACCGTTAACACCAAGAGTGAAGCTGAGAGAAAATCCCAAATTTTGGGGTGTCACCAGTATAGGAATAGAGGTACAATGGGGACACTTAATCTGGTGACCTTGATGATAACCGGAAACCACTAAGCAACTCATTCACTCCCTTGTCATATCACGCCTCGACTACTGTAACTCCCTCCTCATTGGCCTACCTCATCGTAGACTATCCCCCCTCCAGTCTATCATGAGCGCTGCTGCCAGACTCATTCACCTCACTAACCGTTTCATAGCTGCCACCCATCTCTGCCAATCCCTCCACTGGCTCACAGTTGCCCAATGGATAAAATTCAAAACTCTGACAATGACATATAAAGCCATCCACAACACTGGCCCAACTTACATCACCGATCTTATCTCTAAATATCATCCAAACCGTACACTCCGCTCCTCGCAAGACCTCCTACTCTCTAGCTCCCTTATCTCCTCCTCCCATGCTCATCTCCAAGACTTCTACAGGGCATCACCCATCCTCTGGAACTCCCTACCCCAATCTATCAGATTATCACCTACTCTACTTACCTTTCGGTGTTCACTGAAAACCTTTCTCTTCAGGGAAGCCTATCCCGCCCTCTGCTAATTCTGGTATCCTCTACTCTTCCAACCACTCCATCCCCCACAGTGACTACCTACTGTACCATTCACCCCGCCCTCCTAGATTGTAAGCTCCAAGGAGCAGGGCCCTCTAATCCCTCTTGTATTGAACTGTATTGTAACTGTATTATCTCCCACCATAATGTAAAGTGCTGAGCAAACCGTTGGCGCTATATAAATCCTGTATAATAATAATTCCCTCAATTTCTCTCATTTCCGGCTTTGGCTATGACAGAAAGTGAAGGGAAATCTCCCCAATGGGATACAAGTGGCAAAAAAACACAAACCGGGGTTGTAACCTTCCCTTACTCTATCCAAATTAAAAAAATAGTGCAATTTGACGGGGCTGTGCGATCATATACATTTACCAGGGTTCTCTGTCACTGCATCAGTCACTGCACTGAGCTGCAGTTGTTTTACATAAAGAAAGTGCAAGTAATCACTGCACAATTGAAAACTGCTCCAACCAATCCCCCCATGTGCCGAAGACCAGAGGGTTCTACATGCCACACAGGGGAAGATATGCGCTGTCCTTCCTACTGACGGGAGAAAAGAATGTCACTTATTGCACTTGTCACATATACTGTACATGGGAAATAGGGCAGCATCTAATATGGACATGCTAGTAAAGGGGAGAACAGAGCATAGCTTAGAGGGTACAAAGCTTTACTATGTCTCAGTGTTGCCACCAGTATAGAAATGGAAGCGATCCTTCAAACATGCTGAAAAGTGCAGCTCCTCTACAACTGTCCTTTAACCCTTTCCCTGCCATAGCTGTTTTTGCAATCTTTTTGAAATTATTTTAGGTCTGATCAGGAGCGGACTGACAACTCACGGGGCCCCTGGGCAATAGGGGATCATGGGGCCCCTGTGTCCTTGCCCAAACTCAAAAAAGCCTATGAAAAAGGTACCAGGGGCATCTCATGGGGCCCCCTACTGACCCCGGGCCTTTGGGCAGTGCCCGAGTTTCCAAATGGTCAGTCCGCCCCTGGGTCTGAAGATTACTTAAAACCCACAAAACATAATACATATACTGTATTTTGAAGGCAGAGACCCTGGAGAATAAAATTGGTTGTCCCGATTTTTTTATGTCACACTAAGTTAGTGCAGCGATTTCTCAAACGCAAAATATCAGTTATGAAAAACACTAAAGTTGGAGATATCCTGTTCATCTATGCGTTTCACATCATAGCTTCATCAGGAGGATGCATTAGGAAAATATTTTGCAGAAATCTGCAATAACACTTAACAAAATCCTTAAATACAATGTCCAGTGCATATGAATGCAGTTATATACTGTGTATGATTACCATTGTACACTTACAACACTTACCTGCAACCATCAAACCAAAGGAAGAGGGCGCAAAGGATTCCAGCGACAGGGTGAGCCCATTTTTCTAGAACAGGGGTCCCTAGCTTTCTAAACAAAGGGCCAGTTTACTGTCCTTCGAGTGTAGCACTACGTCCGTAGGAGTTGCTGAAGATTTGGGTCCCCCTATAGTCCTGCACAGCCAGGCAACATGCATTTTCTACAGACTTGCATTCAGAGTCAGTAGCTAGTATTGTTATGTTTTATTAGGGGTGTTGAACTTGGATGGGGTAAAAGGTGTATGGGATGCCGAATGGAACTGCAAACCGAGGACAAACTCCTAAGCAACTATGTACAAGTCTTTCAACAGCAGAAGCTCTCCAGATCTTCCTGGTGCACCCCCAGACCTCCAGATAATCCTCTTTTTATTCAGCTGCCTGAGGAAATCCCTGGGCAAGGAAATCCAGTGCCTGCCACCTTAAATGAAACAGTCCCGGGTAAGGAACTAATTAGGATTCCCACCAGAGTGCTCTTTTTCCCTTAACTGGCCCAGGGGGTATAGGGCTACTCACTCAGTCTCAGTCCTGTACACAGATTTAAGTAGGTGGCTGCCTTCAGGCCTTCTGTTGGGCTGGCTCCTTTCCTGGCTCTACAGGTGGTCCTCGCTTGGGGGGGCGGTGAAGCTGAGTGATCCACCTTTCCTGCTTCCTGGACCTCTTCCCACTGGGCCCCCTCCCAGGCTCCTGCATCTCAGCTTCCTCACATCTTCCACCCAAACTCCCCTGCTGCTTAGCTGGCTCAGTCATACTTAAGGGCTACTCTGATCCCATGCCAAGCCTCCTGCCTGGGGATCGGCCAGAGTCCCTTGAGTATGCAGACCAGACCCTCCTCACCCCCGTCCACTGCTTCTAGAATCTTTTCCAAGATTCCAGAGCAGGGGGAGGTATCAGGGAAATAATCTGCAGAGCCTCTCAGCCCTGACCCAAATGTGACCCAGCTAACTATTGCCCAGACTGCTACTCAGCCCTTCTGACTAAAAAATATTCAGCTAGAAACCCCTAGCTAAGTAGGAGGGTGCTTCACAGGTTTTAGGGGGGCCGGACTGTGGCTAGTGGGAGGTAGAAAATGCCATGCCATCAATGGTAGTAAGCAATACCCCATCATTGGTTTTAATGGGGAGGATTAGTGCCCTGATGTTGGTGTCAAGGGAGGAATAGTGCCCTATTGTTGGTGTCTTTGGAAGGAATAGTGCCCCATCATTGGTATTAGTGGCAGAAATAATGCCCCATCATTGATATCAGTGGGAGGAATAGTGTCCCATCATTGATATTAGTGGAAGGAATAATGCCTCATCATTGCTATCAGTGGAGGAATAGTGCCCCATCATTGGTATTAGTGCAAGGAATAATGCCTCATCATTGTATCAGTAGGAGGAGTATTGCCTCATCATTGCTATCAGTGGGAGGAATAGTGCCCCATCATTGGTATTAGTGGAAGGAATAGTGCCCCATCATTGGTATCAGTAGGAGGGATAATGCCTTATCATTGGTAGCAGTGGGAGGATTAGTGCCCCATCATTGGTATCAGTGGGAGGAATAGTGCCCCATCATTGGTATTAGTGCAAGGAATAATGCCTCATCATTGGTATCAGTAGGAGGAGTATTGCCTCATCATTGCTATCAGTGGGAGGAATAGTGCCCCATCATTGGTATTAGTGGAAGGAATAGTGCCCCATCATTGGTATCAGTAGGAGGGATAATGCCTTATCATTGGTAGCAGTGGGAGGATTAGTGCCCCATCATTGGTATCAGTGGGAGGAATAGTGCCTCATCAGAGGAGTTTTCTAATATTGATGCAGTCCTAGTGGAAGGTTATCGGTTACTAGCAGCAGCCACGGTTAAGACGGTGAAGGAATATCGGCCATCAGGACCATATTACATACTGGGATAGTCCCAAAAGCGAGTGTGACTTACCTAGAGATAGGTGGTTATGAAATGACGGTGAGTTTACACCTACAGTATGTGGGGCACCAGTGTGAACACAGTGAAGCACTTGTCATTTCAGTATGGAGGTTCACCGTTAAAGACTCAGCACCACTGCACTAAAAATTCACATGTCGGGACTGAATACTAATATTGTATTTGAATTTTGTTCTTTGTTATCACTTTAATTTGCACATTGGATTTAGTTGATTTGTGACCTTAGCAAGGTCAATTTGAAATATTTAAGTGGGAGCCATTGGCTCCCACTGCTGTCAATCACAGCCAGTCAGCCAATGAGGAGAGAGAGGGGCAGGGCCAAGCTTTGGCTCCATGTGTGAATGGACACACGAAGCAGCAGGTGCCCTCATAGCAAGCTGCTGGGGGCACCCGACAGACAGGAGGGGCCAAGAGAGCCTGCGGGGACCCAAGAAGAAGAGGATCCAGGCTGCTCTGTGCAAAACCATGCGACACAGCAGGTAACTATAGACATGTTTGTTATCCCCCCCCCCCCCCCCCCAAAAAAATTAACCTTTAGAATTGTTCTAAATATTTATTGTACTGCACCCAACCACTGGGGAGGTGTGCCCAGTAGGTAGCTGGGGGAAACATAAATTCACTGAAGAAAACCTGGTGGAAGCTGGAAGGAGTGTAGCTGCACTGGGACATTGTGAGTACTGACCCAAGCTCAGAATTAGGTGTCTATGTGTTGTTGGTCGACTTTCAGGGTGTTAGCGGTAGCAATCTCCCTGAGACAGCTCCTACAGGGTCTCATTTCTGGCTTTCCCTTTTGTTTCTGGCTTAAAGACTGTTCAAAGAAGTTTCACCATTCGAAGCGTGTCCTCCTGTCACAAGTACCACCTCAAACCCTCTCTGATTACACATTCTATAAGCAATAAACCACAAAAAACCAACCCCTATACCAGCCTTTTTCAACTAGGGTGCCCAGGCAACTTAATGATGAGGATTGGTATGGCTGACACTCGTCTTCCTAAATAGTAAACTTTATTGAATGAGTAAAATGTGCATATATATAAAAAAGGTGCAGCGCTAAAATTCCAACTGATGATATAAAAACTCAATATAAATATGCCAATAATCATAGATCAACATAAAATCATCATAAAATTAAAGTGACTTGTGACAAAGTGCCAAGATTCATAAAGATAAATATAAATAAAGTGACTTCTGTGATGAGGTGAAGTCCTTCACTATTGAGTGACCAGTAATGCTAATATAGTGATATAATATTGTCCCAATGTGAATGTGGAAGATCAAAATCTCTCCAAGAGTAGATGTTCCATTCAATACTGTGGTGAAATAACCGGTATCATAAAGACTGCGCACTCACCAGATGCGCAATCAGTCAGCACATTTAGAGACAATACTCTCTGTAGATGAACCGGAGGCTCCTATGTGGATGGATCTGGTCTGGTCAGAAGTTCCCCTCACTGCTCACTCCTGCTGTCAATATAGCTCTAACTCTCTTTTCATATAGCTATTGCCTTGGGAGGATGTTGGGAAAAACGTGAAGTTTTTGTTGGCGGCGTGTAAAGTTTAACCCCGATCCAAAATTTCCTCTTGATTCATTCGATGATAATTTAGAGGGAGATCTCTTATAGTTGCTCTGTTCTGGACCAGCGAGAAAAAATCCTAGGTAGTTCTCTTTGTTTATGAGAGGGCTGGGCAGCTACAGTATGTTTGCCATTCATATCCCTGTCTATACGCTGTATAGACAGCTGGGCAGGTACAGTATGTTTGCCATGTCATATCCCAGTGTGCAAAAGTATATTTGCTTTGGAAAAATAAATCGCCTCTAACATTGGGTGTATGACGTGTGTGTGGATGTTGCGTCCTTATGTAAAACTAGTAGACAAGTTTTTTACATTTTAAGATGTGCCTCAAGATGTGCAGGATTTTAAAGGGTGCCTCGACTGAAAAAAGGTTGAGAAACACTGCCCTAGACTGTTTAATGGAACCAGAGAGAATGGACTGATGCTTGTGTGAATGGTGGCCTCTACACTCTTTTGCGAAAGAACCAGTTAAATCAGCAGCTCTTACAGGGGTAGTGCTACACTTTTACAAAACAGGGCAATTCAAACATGGCTCATGATAACTAAAATACAGTCTTCTTCTGTAGGCGGAGGGGTAAGCTCCTGCCAGATACAACTCCAGGTTTTTTACATTAGATGCCCCCCATCCCCCCCAAGACAACCCCATCCTGGTATCTTTTATTTTAAAAAAATGCAATACATACCCTTTTTTACCTAGTCTTCTTACTGGTCTGATGACGTCACCCAAACTTTTTTTTCTTTAGCAAGTGGGGGTGGGGTGTAATGAAAACTGCACATTCAACACTGAGCACCACTCAGTCCTGAAATGCTGTGAGCCCAGGCTGCACGATGGTGCACCCTCTAGTGGATATGCATTTGACAGGCTGTGCTTATAGGAAATGGGCAGAATGAAGAGGACTATAGGAACTATAGGCACTGGACCGAGGAGCAAGGAGGCTAGCATTGGAGCATGAAGGTGGTAGGTAGAAATTGATGGGGGGGCAGGAAGCAGAAAAAAGCAAAACAATTATTCCCCTTGTTAACAGACGTTGAATTTGTTTATAAGTATAGGCTTCTGAAACTGAGACAGAAATTGTTGCCAGATAC